CGAGTGAGTTAATAGTAGCTGTAAATAAGAAGATGAGGGCTGTGTGTGGGTTTTTGTTTGGAACAGAAATTGAAAAATACATGACGTAATCTACTTCATTTCCTTGAGAAAATACCAGTTATATCAGCCATGTTTCACAAAACTTAGCATCTTATGCTAATCACAGCAAATACCAGCTAAATGTGGAGTAAACAAAGTCTCAGAACCCCTGATTCTCCACCCACAAATGAAAATAATCATGCTTTTGGTTAAAAAACAACATTCCTCTCATTAATCCCAGTAAAACTCTTCTGAATGAGGAGTCCTGAGTGGTTTGGTGTCTGTAATGAGTTCAGCTCACATCCTCTTTATCTGTAATTAAAGCCTTCTGAGTTCTCATTACAGCAGACATGTTCCCACTTCTGGACATGTTTTATCATTTAATGCAATACGGCTCAATCACAGCTTCAAATGGACACTTTCCTTTAATACCCTGCGGGTTTTATGGGTTCAAAGACAAGAACTTCGCCTTCAGAAGTCACACTTGGACCATTTCTACTTGTTAAGTTGTGCTTTTGCCAAATTAAATAAAGCATTATTGGACGTAGATGCAGAATCAGACGCAGATCAGAATTATCAGAGTAAGAGTTGAATTAAACATTTATGTTTTATTGAGATATACACGGTGAGTCTAAAGTCACATGAGACTGTTTGATGTAAGAAACTAAACATCTCCAAACGTTAGCATTCCTGCTTTTCAAAATGGCCGCCATTTTGCTAGCCGCCATATAGGATCAAGGGAGAGTTTTTCCAGGGGGAAGCAGGTCATGTAGCATATCAAAGAAGAGAAAAGTAGTCCCAGAAATCCATTTAAGCAATCAGATTTGGAAAATCTCCATTGGTTTAAAAGTTATCAGCACATAAGACAGCAAAAACTTGGAACTTTGTGGGGGGGGTGATGAGCGTTTAGTGAGCTGTCCCTGGTGCTGAACTGCAGGATACCGTAGTCCTGATTGCTTCAATCCATTTCTGAGACAAATCTAATCTCCCCTGATATGATACAGGACCCCTTTCCCATTGGGGAAACTTTTCCCATTGGGGAAACAATTTCTTTCTGCATGTGGATCATCTTTAAATGCAAGAATAATGATCTTTTTAACCAAAAATAGTCATGGTGAGGGTGGATTACCTAGTTGGAGATCAAGAATAGAGAAATTATGTGGGTCAGAGGATAATTCTTAGCAAATTTAGCAAACGTGTTGAGTTTATTTTGTTGCATTTGTACAGTACACATCATTAAGACTTATTAACCACTCATATAGAGATAATAAAAAAAAATACATGAAAATTTGCAAATTTTAGGTGTCTGAAAGACGCCAGCTGTTGATTGTTGTTCTTCCTTTTATTGGCCCAGTTAAATAAGCATAACTCCACTAAATTATCATTATATTACAACCCTTGGGAACACTGTCTGGCCCAGAAATGAAGGCTAACGGTAGAAAAACAATATGGGCATCAGATGTCTGAGAATGGAGGGGCAAATGGAGGCTAATTGTGTTTAATGGCTCAAAATCTGAGCGGGCCACTCCCCGGATGAGGGAATCAAATTCCTGACATCTTTTTCCCTACAGCTGCAGACAAACAAAAGGAGAGAGGACAAGCTCTATCCTGTTCAGTGTTCTGAGGCCATTGTCAATCAGAGGTTATTATTTTATTAAATTATGGGTCTGACAGCAGAGAGGAGTCATTAATCTTAAGTTCGTCTGGCGCTGATTCTGTCAGATAAGCCTTTGAAACGCAGGTCTGAGTCCGATTTATGACTTAATTGTATGTTTTCTTGCATATTTTCCCTTCAACTAGTCAGGCTTTCTCATAGTTTTTCAGTTTTCTGCTTTTTCTCCCACTTTTATCCACTTGTTTTTTAGCTAAGATGCAAATCTATCAGGGCCCTAACTCAAGGGATGAGCCAGCATTGTGTTTAAAGTGGATTTTTAGATCTCTGTTAGCAGAGACATCATTTGTTCCATTTCTGTAGCTAAAGGAGGAAAAAGGCCAAATAAAACCCAGTCTGACAGACAGGAAACAGGATTTCGGATTTCTGAGTCCTGAAAACATCCGAGGAAACAGGACCAGTGGAGAACAGAAGAAGAAGAAGAGCTGGGCCTAAAAAACTGTTATCCATCAGAAATAGGACCAGATCTTTTAAAAAGCCTGGAAAACTATTCCTGGAGACTCCTTAAAAAAAAGATTCTGTCCTAAAATGCATTAAAAAAGAAGCAGAGCTGTGAAACATGAGCTTTAAAAAATATTTAGTTCTATAAAACCCATGTAAGCACGGACTGAATCGCATTTATTTTTTCTTCTCTCCATCTGAGGCTGAGCAGAAAACGACCGCCTCTATAAATAAACCTGCCAATTATTCCTCTCACACGCCTCCAGAGATGTGTCAGACATTTCTTATTTGCCCAATTATCTGATCAGTTATTCAGAGCTGTTATTCATCCAGATGTTCTGCCATTTTACTCGCTTTTTCAGCTCAATGCTGCAATTAATTCTGTTGTTTTTTCCCCATTTTGGGCGTAAAAACGGAAATATTGCCCTCAGAATATCAAGTAAAGTGGATCTTTGAGTGTCTTTGGCTAAATAAGGTCACGACTCCATGTCTGTTTGTTATATAAAATAGCTTTTTATGGCTCTGTAGCTGCTTGTCTGTGCTCTTTATCCCTACCAGCACCAGAGGATTACTTTTATCCTTTACAGCTTAATTCATGTTATAAAAGCCACGGAGACTAAAGCCTTCTGCACGGCTTCTTTTATACGCATTACACGGCCTTATTAATTTGTTATATGCTCGATCCATGTCTCTGTGTAGTGATCTTAAAGAAAAACTAAGAATAAGAACGTTGCTCGTTAAATACTCCTATAAAATACCAACACTGTCTATTTTTCTTTCCTTTCTGATTCAGGTTTTGTTCCCATTTTAGAGCCTGTTTACTTTATTATTACCTTATTATATCCAATAACTTGTTTGTTTTTTTTATCAGAGAGCTTCTGTTTGGTGTGAGAATTTAATGAAGTTCAATCTATTTTTTGCACTTAGGATCTGGAAACATAGCAGATTCAACCTTGAATGAAAAATATGAAAAAAGCCCATTTAAAATGTCTGTTTAATATCGATTCGGTTGAATTTGAAAGCTTGTTTTTATGTGGGTCTGAGTCCTGCTGTTGTGTTTAGGCCTAATACTTGAGCGGGAGTGAAGGGTGTGTCCTTATTTGTCCAGAAATGTGTCCAGATGTGGGTTTGAAACCTGAATGTGACTCAGACAGACTGGACTCTCAGCTGTACAAACAGACTCTCCTAAAAATAAAAATAAAAGGCAGCTGCTTTCTTGGACGACCCCAAAACTCTGAACCGTCAGCTTCAATTTAATATCTTTAATAATCTAATAAAGATTTAATAAGCTTTAATACGTGCCAACTACTGTGTAGTCTGTGTAATTGTCTATTTATTTATCTATCTGTACAAGAGCAATAACCAGAGAAAACTACTGTTTAGTCTTTACTTTTACTGTACAGATACTTTATATTTTATATTTTAAGGAAAAACGTATAGATCTCTACCATATACACTCTTTTTATATTCTCTATATTGTCTCTGTATTGTCTCAGATGGTTAACAGTTTGTTATGCTCATTTAGTATTTGTAGCCATCTTAGTCATTTTGATGTTAGGCTAATATAGCTAATATACACCTTGTGTTGCTTTCATTATAAGGCTTTTAATTTTTTCCGGCTCCAGACATTTTTAATTGGCTCTCTCAACATTCTGGGTTGCCCACCCCTGGTCTAAGTCTAAGTGTTGTTAGGATTTGGTTTACCTGTGACCCAATAAATGTCAATATTTTAACTCTTGATCGACTCTGGTTTATTCTCAGGTTTCCAATTAAAGAATCGGGTTAACAGTGTTTACCTCCGTTATCTTCATGTTAATTCCAAATGTATTCACTTGCTCAAAAATGTATGAAAATGTATTTCTAGCCCGTGGACTGTGATTAAATCTCCTGGACTAAGTCTCAACATACTACCCTGAGATATCAATCTTAAAAATATTTTGTCTCACTGTAATCAGCCAACGCTGGTCACCTTGAATGTTTAAATTGTTAATGCGTTTTCTCTTCTTTTAATTTTGTTAGGTGTTTTGTGCACTTTTGAGTTATTTGTACAGTGGGGGAAATAAGTATTTGACCCCTTGCTGATTTTGCAGGTTTGCCCACTTACAAAGAATGCAACGATCTATAACTTTAATCATATGTACATTCTAACAGTGAAAGACAAAATCCCAAAGAAGATTCCAGAAAATCACATCATATGAATTTATAAAAATTGATAACCATCTGATGAGGAAAAATAAGCATTCTTTGTAAGTGGGCAAACCTGCAAAATCAGCAAGGGGTCAAATACTTATTCCCCCCACTGTATGTATGTCTCTTTGAATTGTAAACAACAATAAACAGATTTTTGAAAAAAAACAACAACAAAAAAAACTGTGTTTACCTCTTTTCCAGGGTGATAAATGCGGGGAAGAGTGCGCTGAATGAGGACCAGGCTTGTTGTGAGGTGGTGGTGGCCAGAAGGAGGCCCATGAGCTACTGCCCCACCTCCACGCCCAGCAGGACCCCCTCCACCCAGAGACGCAACTCCCTCCCCAACGGGGAAACCCTCGGCCTCAGGCCGGAGTACGGACGCCTGGGAGAGGTAAAAACACAGAGGGAATATCAGAAATGGAACTAGAGATGCAGGATTTAGATTTTTATTTCATTTAACCTTTATTTAACTCATTGACTGCCAGCCATTTTCAGGGGGGTTGGAGGAGTGAAGCCTGGGGCAGGTTTGAAGGCAGAAAACAGATTTCAACCCAATCTAAATTTAATAGATAGTTTTGAATGATTTAATTTCAAATAAGGACTTTTAATTAACTCATTGACTGTCAGCCATTTTCAGAACAGAGAGTCCCATACTGCCAGAGTTTTTGGAGCATTTTGACTGATTTTTCAAGAGCCACAGAATAGTTTGTGCTATGACTATGTAAACACCGAACACACCAAAAGAAAGAGTAGACTCTCTTCTTTCATCAGGAAAAAAAAATTGTTTCTACATTATTCCGTTCTTCCTCGACTCGCGTCTCACCGGCGACATGTTCTCTCATAGCGAACCGTTACCTTTTTCTTATTTGCCTACAGTCTATGCTCATCTCCCATCAAAAGTGGCACTGCCCCCTAGAGGGTCAATTTGTTACTACATACTCTGTCTAGAAGCCGATATTTACGGACAAGCTTTAGCAGATCGTCCCCCAGCCACTCTCGTTGAAAAACATAAAAGACCTCTATAGACGTCTTTGGCAGCCAATGAGTTAACCAGGAAGTCCCATTGAGATTCGGAATCTCTTTTTCAAGAGAGACCTGGCCAAGGTAGCAGTCAAACCACAAGAAATTCAAACATGTTACATTTTACATAATGAAATCAGAGCAATATGTTAAAACACATCGAGCATCTCAAGAAAGACAAGCACAGATCTCCAGCACTACACTCTTCATGGTTGCTTTAAATTCATTAATGGATACTAAGCCTTCAGGATCCAACGTACAAAATAATAATCAGTCTTGAAAAGAACCAAGTACAAAATAAACTCACTCTGGAAAGGGGATGACAAAAGTTCGAAATAAAAATCACTCGTACATGGAGAAAACAGGTTCAAGGCGCAAGGAAAGGATCACTATGGTTTGGTTTAGGTCAGTAAGAAGTAGGACAAAACCCACACAGACTATTTAGAAACACAAGGGAAGAGAATCCCAGGTGAAAACAATTGGCGATCAGGGAACAATCAGGAAACAAGGGGGTGTACCTTTCAAAATAAAACAGGAAATGACAAGACAACCATGGAGACAAGATTAATTTGATAGATATTTTGAGGAAGAATTCGGGGAGTAAACATATACAAATAATTTTGGGATATTTAAAGAAAACTAAATTATTTCAAATAATTTATGATTAAAATAGGTGTGTGTGTGAATGGGTGCATGATCTAGGGGGGTGGATTATAAAGATATATATAAAAATGGATGAGAGTATGTAGGTATACCTAAATAGGAAATTCATTTAGTTAAAATATATATTAAAGGTAGGAGTAGGAAGATATAAATACTTATATAAGTTGATAGTCGATTTCGCACCACACTCCATACTAGTAGGTGGCGGTAATGCTACTTAAAGTTGGTTGCCAACCGCCAATAAAATCAAGAAGAAGAAGAAGAACCAAAGAGACGGGACAAAATACCAAAAAATCAAAAAATGAGGTGGAAGACCAGGAAAAAAAAAACTGATAAAAGTCTGTTACAAAAAGTGTAAATTGCTCACATCTCTCTCTCTCTCTGGAAGTGAGGCAGAAGTTTTAAAAATGTCCCCGTCTGTTATGAAAAACATGACACATTTGCTTCTTGCTCAGTGTCAACAAAAACAAATGGTGGTGGAGGATTTCCTGTTTAGATAAAACGGCTCATAAAGGCAGCTGTGGTGAAATAGCTGCTTTTGTGTCTACATAAGAAATGTTTTCTGAGACAAGAGATGGACTCATTTATATTTAAAGTAAATTTCCTTCGGATTCAGGGTTATTTCAGCCATAACTAAGTCTCCAAATTTCCTTCTGAAGGCAGGTTTTTCAGCTAACTGACCAAAATATGCTTACTTAAGAAATTATTTGTATTGTCCCATGAGGGAATAAGCGGTATTGATAATGGATGGGTGGATTATATTGAATTTGAATAGAAGGACTAAATCAGAATAAATTTGGTAGCATAAACTTAGCAACATCAACCAGATGTGGCAAAAATCTTTAATCCATTTAAGTCTGGTTGCCTTTGTCTGAGACACACTGCGTTAGCTGGGCTATAAATACCAATATTAGCCCAGATTAGGCAAAACCAGTTTGCTATCTGTGCATTTAGCTCCAGCTTTAGCCACTATAATCATACCTCATACAATCAAAATTCAAGGAATTAATTTAAAGAGCTTTAAAAAAAATCTTCAGAGCTTCCCAGATTAGCTAGTTTTGCCAATGCAGTGCTAATGCTAGCAGTCATAGCAAAGTGAACATATTTAGAAAACATATAATATATTTATTATTTAAAAAACAAGACAATCCCTTCTGTGGTTTAAGTGGTTACAGCATGTTAATTCAAAGCAAATAATAATGTTTATGTCACCAAATCCAAGTATTTGACCGTCTGCATCATAGAAAAAAATGCAAAGCTAGGCTAGCTGAGCTAAGCAACAGCAGTCGGCTCTTTCTAGAGATGTTTAACAGCATAATTTAAACTTTCTAATTAGCCTGTTAGCTCCGGTTTGTTTAAGTCCTTCAAAGTGCCGCAACACTAAATGGTTTAACAGGCTTAAATGTTTGGTGCTGACTCAAAGAATAGCAGACGTTAGCATCATAAACAAGTAGCCAAACTAACAACAAATAGACATTTTCAACTTCTACCACACATATTATAAAATATCAACGCAATGACAGCAAATTAATTAAAAACAACAAAATAGACAATTAATACTTGCATGTGTAGATTGTAGAGCAATATTTTAAGCTAGTGCTAGTTTAGCTTAGCCTAGTTTCACTCAAAGAAGCAGTTAGCTTGTCAGGCTCCAATTAACCTGTTAGCTCTGCTTAATTTAATTATTACAGTTTACTCAAGTGTTACAACAACATTAATGGACTCAATGGGGTTTAAATGTTAGTGTCCAACTAAAACAACACATTTGTACCTCTTTGGCTTTTTCCCAGACTAATCCAACAGATATCAGATTTTTCCAGACAAGAGTAAACTTTTTTTATTGCCTTTAATTCAGTCTTTTGACTCTTTTGACTGTATTTCTGCATATAGAAGTAAACTAACTCTATTTAATGTGGGAAATGCACTGATTTTGTTCTGGGATTGCTCAAGAAACTGGCTTGTGATGAATAAAACTATGGGAACTTAGCAATGTCATGGACATAAGATATAAGTGGGGCTTTCAAGATAAATCTAAAGTTTGGGAAAACTTGCTAAGACTTTGCCTGCTGTCCTCTGTGTGGGAAGCAACATCTTATTCCTGATATCATGAGTAAATTCTATGTGGGAGCTGATGTGAACTTGGAACTTGGTTTCTGGCCATAAGTGAAAAAAGAATTAAAAAAAAAAACTATGAGCACTGGTTTAGTCTGTTGGACATGATACGGGTTCCTAAAAAGGTCCTTTTCTTTGCTGGACATCATGAGTCAAGTCATGTTTTATTCATAGTGTCTGACTTTTCAGTCGGTTAGTTAGTCATCCGTCCCCAAACAAAACTATTCATCCAAGAAAAACATTGATTTGAAGAAAGTTCTGACCAGACAGGACATGAACTCACATCCTGCTCCTAAATGCGTTCCAGATATGAGTCTGTAGCCAATATAATATTATTAAAAACCTTTTTCAGCTCCTCTCACTTGGCGGCGCAACCACATCATGCCTCCAACTATTTCATAGAAATGATGATAAACTGCAGTGTAACATGGAGGACGATGGATTTCAAACGAACATTTTTTTTTTTTTTTGTAGATTCTGTTTATTTTGTATGTATTTGATATGAAAACTTCATTTGCCAACCCGTCCTAACCCACGGAGGTGAGCACACAACCCGAAGTAACCCAATTCAGCCCAAAAAGGACCCAAACCGGTCAAAAACTGACCAGAACTAACCCAAACCAACCCAAAAGTGACCCAAACCGGTCCAAAAGTGACCAGAACTTACCCCGAACAAACCCAAAACTGACAAGAACTGGTCCAAAACTGACCCAAACTAACCAAATCCAGCCCAAAACGAACACAATCCAGTCCAAAAGGAGGTTAAACTGGTCCAAAACTGGTCCAAAGCCCACCCAAACTGACCCCAATCAGGCCAAAAGATAACATGGTGGCACTATGAATTTCAAATGAAAACGTTTTTTTTGTTGTTGATTCCCTGTTTATTTTGCATGTATTTGATCTAAAACCTTCATTTACCAACCCATCCTACCCAACGGAGCTGAAGTCTGAAATTTCCTTCTTCATTCTGGTTTCTACTGGCTTGTAATTTGATTCCAGTTGAACTTTTGGGAATAATGTGTAATAACAAATGCTTTCTGGGGCTTTTCTTGATGTTTTTATATAACATTTTTGAATATATAAATTGCCACTCTGATGGAACTTCCCGTCCTAACCCAAACCTGTCCAGAAGGGAGCTAATCCGGACCTAAACTGGTCCAAATCAGTCCAAAAAAGGGCCAAAAGATAACATGGCGGGACGATGAATTTCAAACGAAAACGTATTTTTGTTTGGTTGGTCCTGTTTTCAGGACGGCGAGGGTCTGGCGTTCCACTACTGGGCGCTGTTCGACGGCCACGCCGGTTGGGGCGTTGCCGTGGCAGCGGCCCGCCTGCTGCAGCACCACATCGCAGGCCAGCTGCAGCCCGTAATGGACGTCCTGCGGGACCGCCGCTCGCCGCCGCCCGCCGTGATGGGGGAGGAGCCCGAGGGCCCCGCCCACCTCACAGGCCCCGCCCACCTCCAGGGCCCCGCCCACCTCACAGGCCCCGCCCCCCCCACCAGCACGCAGCGCTATTTCACAGAGAAGAAGATCCAGCACGAGAGCCTGGTGGTCGGCGCCATGGAGAACGCCTTCAAAGAGATGGTGAGGGGGGGGGGGTTAGGGTTAGGGTTAGGGTTTACAGTTGGGGGGGGGGGGCGGGGGTGGAGGTCCGACTCCGCCCACATCCAAGTCGGCCATTTTGATTAGAGCATGTGACTAGCAGCCTCTATGAGGTGGAAACGAAACTTTACTGTCTTTAGGAAATCGGAAGATAAACGATGTCCTGAACCTAACCCAAACCTTGATTCCTAATTCTCAACATAACCCTAACCCTGACCCCAACCCAAACCTTTTTTCCTAAACCTAACCCTGACCCTAAACCTAACCCCAACTCAAACCTTGTTTCCTAACCCTGACCCTAAACCTAACCCAAACCTTGTTTCCTAACCCTGACCCTATACCTAACCCCAACTCAAACCTTTTTTCCTAAACCTGACCCTAAACCCAACCCTAACCCAAAGCTTGTTTCCTAACCCTGACCCTAACCCTAAACCTAACCCCAACCCAAACCTTTTTTCCTAAACCTAACCCTGACCCTAACCCTAACCCAAACCTTGTTTCCTAACCCTAAACCTAAACCTAACCCAAACCTTGTTTCCTAACCCTAACCCCGACCCTAACCCTAAGCCTTCTTTTCTTGCCTGGAATCTTCTTATTGGTGACCTAATCAAAATGGCCGACTTGGATGTGGGCGGACTTGGATATCCATCCTTGGCTTCCTGCAGTCTGCAGCCAGACGGACTTCAACCCTTTAAAGCCTGATCCAAGAAAAATAGGAAGAATATTGGATTTTTTTAGTCTGAAGTCTTTCTTTGGCCCCTCAACAACATATGAAGAAAAAAAAAACATAAATTATTTTGATCAAATTAGCGTGCAATAAGTCAAAAATATATTTTGGTGTAGTCTTCTACTGGCTGTTATCAGGTATATCTGAATGTGTACAACAGGGGTTTGAGCAAAGCTTTTACCACTGAATGATGCAGAAAGTCTCAGATCCAAAAGACTTCAGAAACCGCATGAATCAGATATGATACATTTGGCTTTATAGGGTTAAAAAACGTCTCTTTTTCCTCCTTCAGGACGCCCAGATCGAGCGGGAGAAACAGGCCTTCAGCATCTCTGGCGGCTGCACGGCGCTGGCCGTCGTCTCCCTGCTGGGGAAGCTTTACGTGGGAAACGCCGGGGACAGCCGGTAACTAACCAAACTAACCCAAAAGGGACCCAAACCGGTCCAAAACTGACAAGAACTAAACCAAAACGAACACAAAACAGTCCAAAAGGGGGCTAAACCGGTCCAAAACTGGTCCAAAGCCTCACAAACTGACCCAAATCAGTCCAAAATAGGCAAAAAGATAACATGGCGGAACGATGAATTAATTTCCTGTTTATTTTGTATGTATTTGATATCAAAACTAACTTTGCCAACCTGTCCTAACCCAAACAGGTCCAGAACTAACCCGAAGAAAAAAACAAAAGTGGTCTAAAATGGACCCAATCTAGCCCAAAACGGACCCAATCCAGTCCAAAAGGGGGCTAAACCGGACCTAAACTGACCCAAATCAGTCAAAAAAAGGGCCAAAAGATAACATGGAGGGACGATGAATTTCAAACAAAAACGTTTTTTTTCTTTCTTAATTCCCTGTTTATTTGGCATGTATTTGATATAAAAACTTCATTTGCCAACCCGTCCTGGCCCACGGAGCTGAAGTCTGAAATTTCCTTCTTAATTTTGACTTCTTCTGGCTTGTTATTTGATTCCAGTTGAACTTTTTGGAATAATGTGTCATAACAAATGCTTTCTGGGGCTTTTCTTGATGTTTTTAATCCAACATTTTTGTCAGAAATTGTGAGTTAGAAAGAACAAAATTGCCACTGATGGAACTTCCCGTCCTAACCCAGAAGGGGGCTAAACCGGACCTAAACTGGTCCAAATCAGTCCAAAAAAGGGCCAA